CAGTAATTATTGTTATATACTGTATGATAGAATAGATTATTGTACAGGTTTGTAAGTGGTCCAAATCTGATCTTAAACAGCATGCAGCTTTTTCTTCTTTAACAGATTTTTAGCTGGGTTTGGGTTGAAAAGCACAAAGTCAGACTTGGCATAAAATAAACTGATTGAAAAGTGACAGTGTGCTACTGTTAGTACAGCAAAAAATCTTTGGTATGCACTGTACAGTTCAAATAGCACTACCGCTGTCATTCTTTCCATAGCAGGAAGTGTGCTAGACAACAGCAACTAGCTAGAATATTTAAACTGGGTGCAAGCATCACAACTAGCTGATGTTGTTTCTTAATGCTAATTCACCAAGCTCAAATATGTTGTCCTATTGGAGTTGGAGGTAGACATTGACCTGTGTGAAAAGCTAAAAGGGAGAAACTTTTGAATTTTCCAAATACTCAAGTAGTTCTCCCTCGGTGTGCAGCAGAGGATTGTTTTTATGTGTGGTGTGGTCTGGTGGTAAAGTTTGCAGGTAATGATGGCTACATTGATGCCATGCTGAAGGAACAACCAATAAAAGTAAAAGCTGTAAGTTTGGGGTAAATGATCCACAGAAAAATAAAATTAGCTTTTTGCAAGCGCATGACCTTAAAAGCTTGGAAGTAGCTAGCTAGCTAGCTTACAATCAAACTAGGTTAATTGAAAGAGACATGTTGGGTAAGTTTGTTAGCTAACTGCGTAAAGGAAATGCTACTAGTTTTAAAATTAAATGATAAACAAGGCTTTGGTATGGCCTTTATGCTAACTTCCAGAACAGCTTAAAACTATCTGATAAGCTAGCTAGATAGCTTGCAATCCAAGTAAAGTTTTCAAAACAAAAATGTTGGCTAAGGTTGTTGGTTTTAATAAAGCTAAATGACTGCTGAAAATCCAAATTGTTTTAAAATACAAGCTAGATCAGCTAATATAAGATTCCAGAATAGTGTATAAGCCAGCTAGCTAACTCGTAATCAAAGTGAGTTCTTTGAATGAAACACGTTGACTGAATTTGTTGGTTTTAATAAAATTAGACTGAAGGTAATACTACTTGCTTTAAAGTCAACCAATGAACAAGTTGAATTAGCCTTTAAGCTAACCTTTAATGTTTAATGTATAACAGGTGATCAACAATAATAATAAAAAACAACAACACACCACTATCAACAGTACATATGCTGCAGGTATGTTCATGCTGGTTAACAAAAATGGGTATTTTATTTGGGGGGGGAGAACTGCTACTGGAGTTAACGGTGAATCTTTGGTTTGTTAGCTGATGAGGTTTCTGTTGTTCTTTTAACCTTTTTTTTTACTTTGAAAAACTGCATAGGCACACGTTAAAGACACTCTTCAACCGTGAGAAACACATTAATGTTCTGCCTTTTTTTGGGTGGATCGAAGGGAAGAAAATGGTCAACGGTGTCCTCCGTTCGTTCCTTCCCTCCTTCTCATGTGGTTTTACCCTTTTTCAGTCCCCAACTTGCTTCCCCTTAAAGATTGCCTGACTTAATATCAGGCAGAACAAAGCTACTTCTCCATTCTCGTGGTGTCATCCTTCCTCATGTCCTCCCTTGTCATCGTTGTCCTCCATCCTCGACGTTGTCGGCGCCACTCTTTTTTTCTTTTTGTTTTTTTCTTTTTTTTGGTAATAATTCTCTTCCATCATCAGTTTTTCCCATTTGTTGGAACAGTTAGGTGCAGAAAAAAAGTTTTCTTTGGTTTCGATTTGTCAATAAATAGAAAAAGTCTTAAGTGTCCTTTTTTTTCTTTTTTTTTAATGTTAAATCGTTCTTAAAGCCTTTGGCTTGCCTCTAACCAGGCCAAGACTCAGCCTGGGGTTTCTAAGGAGCAGGGGCTGCTGACTGGCGCGTTTCCTTTGGTTTGGTTTCCTTTCTTTTTTTGGTTTGATAGCTTGAGTGAAAGCTGATTGATGAAGTGACTGCAAATGGTAAAGGCTGCCAAAACTGAGCTGGAGGTGATGGTGCTTGAGGTTTTGTGGGTTTGTTAGTATTTACATCATGCGTAAAGGCTGTAAAGTGTGACAGTAAAACCTTCAAATCAATGGGTATTGGAGGATTTGGTAGCTATGGATGCTTGGACACAAGGACAGTCACAAATATGGGCAGAAGAGTCTAGTTTTTGTGTCACAGCCCATCTGTCTGTTGACTGTCCATCCCTTTTACCAAGCATCCAACTTTCCTACACTGCAAACAAACTACATTTTTGAGTGTTGTCCTCAAACTTGCATTGCATTAGAGCTGATCTTTTCAAGTTGACATTTGCTTTATCTTAATAAATCAGCACAGTTTGATGTACACATTTATCAAAGATCATTTGTTTGCAGCAAATGCTCTTTTCCAACCCACTAACCCTCTGGAAGAGACAGACTAACCAGGCATCGTCTTTAGATTGTCCTCTTTAACTATTACAAAGGCCCTGATTCGCCTGGACAGTTTGTCCTTCTTGGGCTCAGATGGTTAACTGGTTCTGTGGATGTGTTGATGCAGTGGGAGGTTTTGGTTTGCTTACCTGTGGTAGCAGTGAGGGCAGATCAAAGCTTTCCAAAAAGCATCTTGGCTTAAAACTGGATTTATACCAAAAGATTTTCAATCCAGAACATTCTTTATTCTTAAAAAAAGTTAAAGTTTTGGTTTCAATATTTTTTGTGGTTGGCTATAAAAGAGCGGTAGAAATCACTCTCAACATAACGTAGCCTTGTTTTCCCAATAATTGTGCTTTTTTTTTCACAAATTTTGACTTAAGGGTCCAAAGAAACCAATGTAGGAGCATTTTTGTGGCATCTTTCCGATCTAAACTGGGGATAATGTCAAGATTATAAACCTAAATGTCACCTGCTTAGTGTTTGTTCAATAAGAAATTAACTCTAGTGCAACAGAATAGATGCAACTAGATGGTGAGAAAAGGCGGCTGGCCGGCCGATGCTTATTTAATGCCAAGATGTTTGCAGGGTTCTTGCGGATGACTAATTTAAAGCCCAGAACTTCTTGACATTTTTTATTGTCTTAGATTTAATGTTAATAATATTGAACTATTATCCCCATCCTACTTTTAGTTCACCACCTTGAGGATCACAGATTTTGGTCACATGGTTATAAATTTCAGCTCTAGTCTGACTTTCATTGGTTTGAAAACCTCATTTTTCTTTGCAAACCAAGGTGGTATTAATGCTAAGATGCTTTGTGGAGTGTGCTGCCCTAATGGATATGCGTTTATGGTAACAGAAGTGATGGGTAGGTGAAGCAAGGGTAAACTGGAGCTTAGCTTTGGTTTGGCTGTGAATTCAGGGAAGTGATTGGGAAATGACTCTTTAAAGTTGTGTGTGTGTCTGTAATCAGTTTGTGTGTCTGCATGTTTGTTTGTACATTCGTACAGTACATTATGTGACAACAGACGCTGAATGGATTTCAGCCACTGTTTAAAAAAAATGGCATCCTGAGTTTTCTAAGATGTGATGACCACTCGGCTTGGCAGAGAGCCCCGGTTCTATTGCAAAGAAAATGTGCTTCAAGATTGTGCTCACGTACATCATATATATTCATATATTATACAGTAATACTCCATCAAACGCTAAATATGCTGAGAAAGCTTGTAGTTGGCTCAAATTATGAAGAAGTTGCATGTGCCTTGGTGAGTATTTGTGTGTGTGTGTGTGTGTGTTTGTGCTTGCATATTTTGCCATTTCCTAACTTAAAAAGAAAAAAAAATCCTCACGTTCCCCTTTAAAGAGCCAAATCTTTACATGTTTTATCCAAAAAGCTATGGAAATTTTGTCATTTTATAAACAAGAGTTGGTTATTGATCACATGCATTTAAGGGATCGGCTTCCTATTTTCACATTAAAATTTGTATAGAACATGTTAGAAATCAACTCCTCAGTTGTGATAAAAACAGAGACTGCACAGCCAAAAAATCTTCCTGAATAATATATAAAAGACTCTTTGAGCTATTAAAGGCTGAATCTGAATTTTGAGGGGTACGATTTGGAAATTTACAAGAAAAAAGGCTAAATTAACTAGATTTTTAGTGTGAAATTTACAGGAAATTTACCAAAAAAAACCCCTCAAAATCTTTAAGGAAGAAAAGAACATCAAGAATTGTATAACAAATAAGAAATCCTGAAATGAATGAGGAAAAACTCTAAACTTTTTTAAAGATTGAAGTCATAACCTACAGCTAAAATTGTGAGATTTTTATTGTAAATTTTTTAGACTTTTTTTTTCTCCTGAAAATGCTGTTGTATATCAGATAAACTGATACATTTTTATCAGCAGAATACTGAGCTGGAGTAACTATTAATGTTATTTTGAATAAAACTGTCCAGATATCCTGTGAAGAAAAAAAACTACCTTCTGTTTTCAAGATAAATAACAAACTTTGATTGTGCAGTTTCTGAAACCCAGCTTCTAAATTAGGATTCTATCGAGAACTGATGTGTCGGCTTTGGACATTTGAGATTAGAAATACCACAAAATTTCCACACAACTCCTGCTTATCCCCGAGCTTCTATCACATTCTGTGGTCTTAAAGCTTTCCTTGCATTCCTGTTTGGTTGGTTTCTAGCTTATATTGCATAATAGAAAACACGCATCGTCTTCTCGTCTTTGGTATTTGGGCTAGCGTGTCAGCTTATTGTCCAAAAGGAGACATCAGCAGTGAACGTCAGTGAGGTTTGAATGCACTAAAGATTAATTTACCCTTCAGCTTCTTAATGGATGTATGATGAATTTGCAAAAGGCGGTTTGGCTAAAACAAGTCGTGGCAGTGAGCAGCCCCTCTCTCAGTTTGTCACTCTTGACAAAAGCAAAAAAAAAACCCAAAACAAAACCAGACAAACAAAAAGAGTAAAAAGTTTGGTTTTCCTCCACGCTGGACGAAACCTCAACCCGCGCCCTCCATCCCTCCCCAAAACTCCCACCCCCTCCCTGACTCCCCATTCCCCTCCTCGCTCTCTATTATCACGCTTTGGTACAAGTGCTTGACGCTGAAGATTGGCCGCCAGGGCTGGCTCCGTCGTCTGTCCATTTGTCCAGGCTCCGGCGGCGGGCGTTCATGAAGAAGTTGCTAACGGTGGTGAGTTCGAGGCCCAGCTGCTGCGAGATAGTGAGCTGCATCTCTTTGGACGGCCGCTTGTTCTCCTTGAAGATGGCCAGCAGGGTGCGCCGCTGCAAGTCGGTAAAGACCAGCCGCGACTTCTTTGGCGTATTGTTGCGGTCCTTCGACGTGTCCTGCTCCTTTCTCTTGCACGCTGCAAAGCAAGTGTGAGAGGGTGGGGGAAAGAAAAAATAAGAGGGGAAAAATAGAAAAGTGTTATTGTTTGCATTTGAACAACAGTTAAATATTGGAGGGGGATCTTGCAGTGTCCCTCACACGAAACACAAACAGAAGGTCTTGTTTACAGACGCTCATGTTCCTGTGTTGATCTGATCTGTGTACTTTCTGTCTCGCCATGTTTTCCATTGTGCCACCAGGCTGAACTTTACTTACTTGGCTCATGCTGTGATGTTTCACTGATTAGAAAACACATGAGTTGCATGATCGTTTGGTATCTAAGTGTGCTTTAACCTCTAGCCTACTTGGTTCATTTCCTGATGGATTTGGTTGTATAGACTGTGGTAAAATCTGGCAATCAAGCTTTATTTGTGTAAAGTGAACAACCAGAGTAAGACTGCACTGAACTTTGAATTCTCATCTGTTGAATTATGACAGATATACTCTTATGTGTGATTTTGTTTAAAACCATCAGGACTGTGTACTGTGTTTGCTTTACTTGCCACCTTGCTGTGAGTGTTTCTTCCAACCTCTGATTATGTTAAGATGGTGTACTTGTTTTTTCTGTGCACCTTTTTCCAAAAAGAAAAAAAAAACTTTAGTTTTGCATCTGCCTGCCTAAAGCACATCATGTAATGCTCAAAAAGTGACCTTTAATATTTGAAGTCACTCATTCTTATTCTCATGTCTGCTTTAAACTTTAAGGATCCTAACTTAGTGAAGTGGCCTGGCAATATCTTCTTACAGTCACAGTAACAGCTAGTAGGATTCTCTAAATAGTAAGGAAAGTTACTCCAGTGCTTTCTTTTCTTTTTTACTTCCTTTAGCAGAAGATACACTGGAGCATCCTTAATGAGAGGAAAGCAGACATTTATTTTCCATAATTCAAAAGGAAGCACTATCTGATTGTCATTGCGTAAACTTGTTTCTGCCACTGAAAAAACAAACAGTTGAGTTATTACATTTGAGTAACTCTAATGTAATAACTCAAAAATTAACTCAAAATCAAGAAAATAACTTGAAATTTTGAGTTATTAAGTTGAACTTTTGAGATAATAACCCCAAATGGTGACTTCTGGTTGCCAAAAAATGTTATTTTCAGTGGAAGAAACAAGCTTCTATGTGATGTTTTTCCAGCAAGTTGAAGGTAGGCTGACCTGTGCTAAGTCTACCACACCTGTCCCCAATTAGCCAATCAGCCCTTCTAATACATACGCAGCCCTCCAGTCTTTCTCCTCCTGCTCGCTCGACTTTCTTGCCACTTTTTGTTCTTGTTGCAGTTCAGCAGCTCTTTGTGATTTTCTGGTTTTGTTGTTTTTTTTATTCGTGTATGACCTTTAAAGCTGTTTGTTTTTAACCTGATGCCTGCTCCTTTCCTGTAAGTGTTTGTTTTCGCTGACTGCCTCTACGTGTACAACCTCAGCCTGAATCAAAGATTTGGATTATTGTGGGCTGGAGCTGTCTCCTTTATCTTGGTGTAGAGCTGCATTTTAGCCCGATACTTGCATTGACCCTCTCTGACTAGATCAGAGTGCCGAGGGATCACCATTTTCCATCATGAAGTAACTGTAGTTTTCCTGTCACTGATTAACACCTGAAATGTGTCTGCTGCTGTATAGCAGCCAGAGAGGGCAGAGGAGGAGGATGAGGAGGTCTGTGTGTTTGATTTGATTACCTCCCTGAATTAAGTATGCACGAGTCAGAGCTGATCAATACGAATCAGGTTAAGGACTCAATTCAGTCACAAAACTATTATGTAAGGGGAAACTATCCTCTCTGTAAACACACACACAGAGTGACATCCCTCTCCCAGCTTTGTATCTCAGCATTTAGCGACCTGACAACAGATTAAATTAATTAAGGACAGCACCTTTATTTGTTTCCCTGTCTCATTACAGGAACAGATGGATTTAAAAATGCACCGTTCCCCCAGATATTACCTTTTAAGCTCAGAACTGGCCTTTAAGGAGTGACTAGTCCTATAAACGCAATCAGTCCTTGTACCATAACGACAACTTTGTTTTTTTTACTTGGTCTGAGAGACATTTTTCTGTTGGTTCTGACCATTCATGACCCTGAAATATTGTACATGAGTAAAACAAACACCAATTAAAGAATCTGACTAAGAAAGGAATTGGTGATTTTTGCTGGCTAAAACCTCGTTGCGGAGCATTTATACAGGTTCTGGTATTTTTGGAAACACTTTTTTGGACTTTTCTAGGAAAAACTGCCTTAACTTTGAAATATGTTCCCCCTTTGAGTTGAATTTCAGGAGGTGCCTTTCAAAAAGGCGTCTGGAGATAAGTGTGAATGTCTTTGTGTCTGTGCTGTTAATCATGTGGGGAGAGATTCCTCTTCCTTTGTTCTCGCTGTCAGGAGTCTTGTGGTTGTAGTTAAAGTTTATCACTGACAGGTGGCACTGTTGATCTCTGAAAATGAAGGCAGCTGTTACCAAAAAAAACCCAAAAAACCGGCATTGAGAAAATATATTCATCCTCAGAGATAGAAAGGGGAGAGTCAGAGAGTCATCTCAGAATCATCATGACTGTAGAGAAGAGATATGTACAACAAATATCAATAATTATATTTTAAATCACAACTAATGACTTTATTCTGTACCTGCTCTGCATGTTGAGCCTTTTAACCTGTTTCCTATATATTCCTAATTATTTAACTTTTTTTTTTTAACAGTGCATTTATTTCCTATGTTTTCTTAGGACTCCTTTTATATTTTCAAATTAGATTTTAAAGATTGTTGGTTATTAATATGAAGGTAATTAGAGGGCTTAAAATCTGCCACAGGTTTGTTAATTCAAAGTTTAAACTAGAGGCAAATGTTGGACTTTGGACACGACTATTTACTGGATGATCTTTGTGATAAAATATTTAACTGTGAGCTAACAGACTGAGGGAGGTACACCACTCTTCATACTTCTTATTAACAGCTTTCATTGCTACTTGTTTCTAATACTGCTGCTGTAGTTTACCCCCGGCTTTACACTCGCTTTAATAGGCGTGAAACAATGTTCTCGACTTTGAGAAATAATATTTCATATTTTGTGTGTGAATTTGAAAGCATGCACAGCTTCAGTTCTACTGAAAGGCTGAGAAGACGGAAAAATGAAATCTTAAGCGATATGAAATGGTTAGAGTCAGCTTTTTATCAGGAATATGTGACCCCTGCTCAGCACATAATCCCTGTAACTGTTGTTTTTATGTGTTTCTAAAGTTGATTTCAGAATAAAATGTCACAAAAGAAATATTTACTAAAACATTTAAATTCAAGTCCGAGGCATTCAGAGTCCTGCAGCGGTCAAAGCCACCACAGACTGAAGTTTCAGCATCATACACTCCCAGATGGAAAGCCTTTTAGTAGGCTGTACACATACTCTTGAAAAAAATTTAGATGATCCGCGTGAAATTTTCAGAGCTGCAACCAAATCAATTTTACACCACTTCAAGTGCCGCAGCCTAAAGATATCGTAGCATCATCATTGGGAAAGCTGCACCAGTTCAGCCCAGTGAAGCAAAGTGTGGCATGTTTGATGCAAGTGTTTTTGTGAGCTTTGAGACCTCTATATCATCAGTGTTAAATAATCTATGGATGTAGCAAAAATCATACAAATTATAAAAATGTATTTTAAAATGTTAAAATTAAATTTCTTTTTTTTTCTTTGTATAAACTCCAGTTTCTAAAAGGAATTTTTTTGCATTTCAGTGTTAACATCTGTGACACAGAACAAATTCTTTTTATATTATGGGACTCATTTTATATTAAGTTCACTCAACAGTGAAACGACCCTTTCTGTCAGTTTATCTACAATTTAAATCCTGATATTCCTTAATGTATGCAAAAGAATCACAAATTCAACAATAAGTCTCAGTTTTTCTGCGTGATGAATAAATGCTGCTGTAGTAAATGAAACAAATCTGTCAGAATGACTATTTAGGCTTAAATTGTAAGAAATAAATGTATAAAATTATAGGAAAGCTCTATTATGTCATTGCCTAAACTTATGTAATTATAAAACCAAGTTTTGTTAATTCACAGAACTCAATGTAAAACAGAGAAATTTAAAATATTAAAAAAATAGGAACTTACTTGTCATTTAATTGTTTATATATTGCTTAATTACTTTTCAGTCACAGGGCAGGTTTTTATTAATAGGAAAAGATACAAAACCTTTGGAAAATCCACTTAAAAGTCCCCTCCACATTTTCCAAACCTGTCCAGTGGGCCAGGTCGGAGTCTTTGCTGGGTCGATTTTGTCCCATAAGCCTTATGTTTCACATCTGTGATGTAGAGGAACAGTAATACCCATTGGTACCCTGGATGGTTAGATCTGTGTTCTGATAATTCACTGAGCTGTTTGGCCATGGAAAAACCCCAACATGGTGCACGTTTTTTATGCAGATGTTAATCTTAGAGCGTTTCTCATCTATGTCGTTCAGCAGTCGGTGATCCTGCTCTGTAACTTTATGTGCTCTGCCACTTCTTGGGGTTCCTAAACACATTACAATAATCCCGCTCACAGCTGATCGTGGAATATCTAGGCTGGAATGACTTGTTGCAACTGTGGCATCCACTTGAACTCAATGAAACTGTATGTTTGTAAAGGCAGTATGCATGGCTAGGTACTCGCTTTTATACACCTATAGAGGTGTGGTCTAATATTTTTTATCTGCCAGGCTTTGTTAAAGATGCTCCATTTAAAGTAGTTTGCCATGCTGTAAATAGATTTTAAATGTGCTCTCTCTGACTTTCTCGCTTCCTGCTTACTGTAGCTCAATTAAAAGCAGATCAGCAGCAGTTCACCCCACACAAGTTTTTTTTTTAAACTTAAAAAAAGTGCAGACACATCTACGTTTAAAAAAAGGGAGCAATCAAACACAACCACCCCTCTTCCCTCCCGTTCCCCACACACACCCACACACACACGAACACACGACATTCAATGGAAGCACGCTTGGGTGGTT